TCCGAAGTTTATCAATTACATCAGTAAGAAAAAACCTGTTGGACTCACAACAACTTAACTGAATGTTATAGAAATGCAACAGGTTTGTTTTCAAAAGGCTTCCCTTACGCAAGCTGTCAAAAGGCCACTTGAGAGCTTTTGGGATAAACAGCTATAACACCAAAAACACAACAAGACTCATCAGATTCTAACTGTGGACAAGAGCAGAAACGGGAGTCTCTCCTGCGCCGGCCCTGAAGCAGCACAGAGGCAAGGCGGCTGGCAGGTTCGGGTCCAGACAGGGCGAGCTCGACAGGAATTCAGTATTTCAGAAGTACAGACATGCAGAAGAGACCTGCAGGGGCTTTTAAAAGTCCTCACCTTTCCACCCCCGATGACAGCTCCTCGCTGAACGAGCTCTCGCTGCTGCCTGCCGTCGGACACCGGCGGTTCGGGAAAGAGGAGAGATTGTAAAGAACATCACTGGGGGGGGACAGCCGCTGAAACTCAAAACTATGCCTCACAGCAACCTTCACCGCATGAATACACACCACCAACCCACAGCACAGGCTGTGCAAACCCACCCCCTGATACAGAACTATAAGCTTCATCATATCAATGTTTCTCCTAAGGCCTATATACTGGTTGTGTTGGCACAGGATTGATTATGGGAGAATCCATCACAGGGAACTTGGCGATGCGGAGTGCCCACAGCTGGCCTCATGCAGGTACTAGTGACCCACTAGGCTTCCTACTGCACCATACCAGAGGGCTTCCTGCCCTCTAGGGGCTGACAGAGGTAATGAGCAATCTCTCCATCTTCGCCTGACCTAACCATCACACTTAGAACACAAGCGTCATGATCACAGGGCTTCAGATTTCAGCATCACCTGTTCCTCCTGGTCCTGGTAAAACCTCAAGGATTCCTAATGGCATTCTGGCAAAATTAAAGGACGACAACAACAACAACTCAAAAGCGCCACCGGAGTTTAAAAACCCCGTTTCCCCCGTCTCGAGCAGAGATGACGTTTAAAAACCCCGTTTCCCCCGTCTCGAGCAGAGATGACGTTTAAAAACCCCGTTTCCCCCGTCTCGAGCAGAGATGACAAAGCACAGCAGCCTTCAGCAGGAGGAGAGCCGCGTGCCGGCCTTACCGAGAGAGAGCCCGTTGGTGAACACCGAGCTGTGTGTGTGGTTCCTGGCCGGGCTGTGGGATTCCAGGAAGCTGTCGTCCAGGAGGTGCCTCGGCTTCTCCGTTGGGAAAGTGGCACTCTTGCTCTCCACCACGCTGAACTGGCACATCACACTGCAGAGCACCGACACAGCGGAGACACAACAACTTCACCCAGCAGCACCGGGGGGGTGGGAGAGACACTAATGCTGGAGCAGTATTCTCGCTCGAGCAGCACACTGTGGATTCGTCAGTCCTTTACTCGATTATTTATTCAAGGCAATATTACGGCCTTAAAAAGACTTGGAGGTTAGAATTTAAGGCGTGTGTTTTTACTAATGGTGAGATATGCAGCAGATTTGAGAGAGCAGTTGAGGCCAGAACTGTATTGTAAATGTAAATGTTGGCGCTGGGAAAACTGGGATCACTCACTTGTTGCCCAGGCTGTGGCTCTTCCTGTGCCGGGGCACGGGGGGGGTGGGCAGGTGGGCACCGACGGAGGTGTCAGGGCAGGTGGGCCGGCGGCTGAACCTCACTGAAGCCGTGACCTCCGAGGGGCCTGGGGGGAGAGTGGGGGCACAGGGCGTCAGACAACACGCAGGATCAGGGGACACGCGGCCCAGCGACACCCACACAGAGCGTATCCTCACCCCTGCATGAGGCCTGCTCTCTGTTTCACAACGTAACTCTGCACAGCCTGGCCTCACAGTGGCTGCAGCTAGAACCCGTCTCCCCAGTTAGGGAAGCTCACAGAGCACAGTCCTCCTGGCAGGCCAGACCACTCACTGACTGCACCACAGCACAGCTCTCTAGGAACTTAGGACTGATAAATTCAGGTCTAAGTTCTATCCAACCATTGATTTAAACTTGTGTTAAGCTGAAAGCGTTTCACTTGCAGTGAATTTAAGGGCAATGAAGCTCCTTTTTTCAAATGACTTCAGACGAATACGTGACAAACACAGACAACACTTTGCTTTCTCAGCTTTATTAGCATAGCTTTTACCACCAAATCCCACCAGTTAAACTACTCTGAAGTGCAGAACAGAATCCCTACAAACCTCCTGACAAGCCCTCCCCTCCCCTGCAGGCCAGGTTCCAGTGCTCCCGGATAATGACCCAGAGATGCAGAGAGAAATACGGCCCCTCTGTGCGCACTGGGCCCAATACTCATCAAGCCTACTCAGGAGGCACTTATATATAAAACAGATGCAGAGTGACTTCACAGACATGACTTAAAGCTTTACAATGATCGGTTTCCTGAGTTAATGTACAGGAATTATAAGACCGCCCCTGGCCCATCCAGGGTACAATCATCTTAATTTACATCACAAGTCTTAAACACTGTTTTCCTACTATTGCATCGCGTCACAATGAAAACTCATTCGTGTTTCTGCCTGGTGTCCGCACTGATCCTGGTTAATAGCTTCTGCAGACAGATCTCCCGTCCTCCCCCAGATCCCCTTCCTAACCCTAAACCAATTATCTTCAGACATTATGGAGCTGAGAAAAATATTTTTCTAATGTTAACATTGTTAACGTCTCCTGCAGAAAGCATGTTCTGGTATCGCTGTAACAGGCGTGGGTTACCTTGTTTGTAGACAACGCATGAAGCATCTGGCTTGTAAATTCCTGCTGTTCACGTGTACACCAGCTGCACATGAACATGCATATTCTCTCAGATTGTTTTGACTGGCATGAACGGTTAAAATAACAACATAGCCAACAGGACCGAAGAGACACTGAAGAGACACTCAGACGTCACAGAGCTCACACAAAAGTACCAGTAACACACCCACTTCGTGTGACAAAATAGATCTGACACAGCAAACAAGAAGAAACAAACTGTTCTCTGGAGGAAACCTTAGTCTGTCAGCATTCTCAGCGTGACAAGCAACTGTCCCTGACAATTAAACTGTATTTATTTTCTTTATGTGCTTTTACAAACACAAAGGCTTTAAAAAGCCGAGCGCCGAGTGAGGCGAGAACTGGAGACCTAAAAAGGCTCTGCTGGCTGGGAGGCCGAAGAGGAAAACCCCCCGGAGCCGAGCACGCCCGGCCTGCTTCTCGTCGGTGATGGAAAGGATCCGGCTGCTTGACAGCAGGACTTGTGATCTGCAAGCTGCGGCTCTCTTCTCAGTGCCCAAGTCTGATGAAAGTGTTATGCATGCATGAACTCCAGGTTTCCCAGAGCAGATGACAATGTGCAGGACTCCAGCCTGTGGCCAGAAACCCTGCAGATCCCTGGAGTAACTGTCTCCATCTGGAGCTCAGGTCTGTTTAAAAGAGAAGAGTGCAGGTTCTGAGGTGTGACCCAGAGCTTCGATACCAGCACCTCAGTAGCATGCAAGCCGGTAAAAGATGAAGAAAATTAAAAGTCCAATAAAACAGAACAGGAACTGGGAACACAGTAAGACAAGGAACCAGACAAACTTTTCCATTTGACCCTGAAAGGTCTAATTGTGGGAGAGCAGCTCATTACTCATGTGGCTGAGAGTGAAACAGCACGAACAGAATCTGACCTCTCCTGCGTTACTGAGAAC